AGATTTATGTACTCTCCTCGGTTGTTCATAGTGAAAATCTTTATATTCTCCGTAATGCTGAATGTGAAGATTTTCACTATGATAGCTAGGGTAAGCATTACTCTAGGAAATAAGTTGGATTATGATGTATGTTTTGCATTTGAAAACAAATTTGTTTTAACAAACGATGATATTGATATGATTTTTTTGGTCTTATTCCTTTGAAATATACATTAGAGCTAATACACGATTAACATGGTATAAATTTATCAAGGTAACCATTTAATAAAATGGCTAGATTTGGTAAAAATAGTTTGCCAAATTAAAAGATGCTAATGAGCTTGAGCAAGCTGCAATATTACATAAAATATTACATAAATCTCAAGAAAGAAATAAATGGTTGATGTAAGAAAAAAAAAATGAAGAAAATAGTATAGATGATATGCCCTCGGACAGAACTAAAGAAGTTCATAGTTTTTTCATCTCTTTTAGAGAAATTGCAGTTCATAATGTTGCTAGAGGATGAGATAAATTTCTATCGCGCAATGTAACAGATGTGTTTACACAAAATTTCTCTTCCAAAAATACGTGTGAGCAGTTAAGGGTTTCATCTCCTAGAGTTCCTTGGGATAAAGTAATATGTTCTTAGAAGTTGTTCTTCGGTTTTTGTTTTCTACTTGTTTGGAAATTCTCAAAAGACTTCTAACAAAAGATATAGGCTACTTCTTTTATATAGTAGATTGTAGTAGGTTTCACTAAAAATCAAATCGAATTTAAAATTTATTTTATTTGCAACATTACATACAACCCAAATAAAGCCGAAAATTGAATCGAACCGTAGTTTTATCCAGTGCGTGAATGTTATGGCTCGCTTCTTAGGGTTCAGCTCCTCTTAATTTGCTATAAATTTTAATTGTTTTAAATATTTTGCATACATTTATGATTGTTAGCGTCACATATTAATGTTTAGAATCTTTTAATTCGCTAAAATATAAATGATATATCTACAAATTCAAAAATAAATATAAGTTATTAGTATAAACAAGTATTCGATCATAACATTTTCTTTTATTGTTGTCATGGTTAATGTAGTAATTTTCTCTAAAAATTAAATCGAACTAAAACTTTATTTTATTTTGTAATGTTACAATCAAACCAACTTTTTCTATAACCAAACTAAATCGAACCATACTTTTATTTAGTGTGTTAGGGTTAAGGCTCCCCTCTTAGGGTTTAGTTCATCTTAATTTGACAGTTTTAAAAATTTGGTAGTTTAAAAAAAAAATAATGTTTTGCATACATTTGTGAGGGTTAAGCCTCACCTATTAATGTTTATAACCTTTAATTAAGACGAAATATATGGTTACCTTATGATTCGTCTGGTTTTCATTTTAAATATCTTTTGTTTCGGTTACCTCATGATTTTAACATCGGGGTTTCTTATATATTATTTTGATCTCAAAAGTCTTTCCTCAAAGAGAAAACATCACACAAAATAAAACAAAAAAACGTACCTCGGATAAGACTGTGTCGTGATGGGTAAGGGCTGGGACAAAAAAGCCAATAAGGATTGGGGTGGGACGAGTAAGGGTTGGGATGGGACGCAGGTAAAGGCTGGGACGGGACAAGTAAGGTTTAGGACGGAATGCGGGTAAGGGCTAGGACGGGACGAGTATGGACTGGGATGGGAAACATGTACGAGATAAGGCACATGGGCTGAGATACCGACCGTGTTCGTTAATTGAAATATGGGATTGATTTTTGTGATGAATATAAATAATAACTTATAATTTTTAGAATAGTTTTTTGTTATTCCTATCATGCGTAAGACGCGAGTACCTACTTAGTGGAGGGAGGCTTATTATCTTTGGTTATTACTTGGGTTTGTT